GGTTTTGTCCCACTGAAATCCCCGGGCTAGACATTGCCTAGAAGTTGACAAAATCATGTGTCCAACCCAGAGGAGGCAGAACAGGAACGTGAGGAAATCAGGGAAGTTCAGTAATAAATTATTTTAATTGTAACATTTATTTGAACAGCTTTTAATAAAAAGCCTTTATATTTTGGGCTCTTTGCCCAAAAGAGCAGAAGGTTGTTCCTGTCCTGTAAAGTCTCCTCTTGTAGTCACTTTTAACTAAATTTAGGAAACGTCTTACTGAATATGAAATATCTGTTTTATTGAATCTGAGTCACAGCACAGTTGAGTAGAGTGGAATGGCTTTAAGAGAATCAGTCAGAAGGAAAGTTAAAAGGAGTAAATTTGTGTTTCCCTTGGAATGTGACATTTTTATTTACCTAACAATCTAACAGGTATCTTGACAGGAAGTTTCATAGAGGTTTACAGACCAAACCCAACTAACTGACAGTAAAATAGCTGAAAAATCACTGTGGTATTTCGGGAAATGGCAAAGTGACACATTGCCAGTCTGGGAACAGCACACACGCCCAAATCTATGAAGACATTTCTTATATCTCAATGAAACTTATGGCTGTTTCTTCTGAAACAAGCTTTCCCAAGCTGCATTCTTGCTGAGAAAATCGAAAGTCCTGTGATTCTCCCTCATCCTTCTCTGTCTAAAAATTTTATCTTTACAAAACAGAAACTCACACAAGAGAAACAGCCAGGTGGATTGGGTGACCAGTCAAATAGCTCAAACAAGGAATTTCAAATATTCAGCTTCATTAAATGATTTGCAGACTCTCATAAAGTGAAGCATTTTGCAAAATATAGTCAAAGGTCAAATTCAAAAGGAAATTTGTTTACAAGGAGAGAATGTTCTTTCTTTAATGACGCTAAATGCTAAATTTAATTGCAGTGGAAACTGGTGAAACACTAAGATAGTGTAACTGGATTTTAGTATTTGCAATATAACGAATATGTGATAGTTTAAAAATAATTATGTTCCAAAAAAACCCAATTAAATAAAAATAAGAGTTTAGGACATTATATGTTATAGCAATTGCAAATGTATTTCAAAATTATTAACTACTCTTTTCTCCCCATTAATTATTTTCTGTGTGTACCTGCTTTCAGTGTTCTCATGTGGTTAGAGACTTAGTGCCATGCATTTCAAGAAGTCCAACCATAGTTAGAAAACCTTTGTTGAGTTTAAACTATAAAAACAAACTCTCCTTTACACAACAGAAGAGTGGGCTTCTTCCAGGGTCCATCAGACAGAAAATAGTTCCCAAACCATGTGTTTCCTCAGAGGGGAATATTTTTTTTCCCCCAACCATAACTTTAATGGCTGAAATCATGAAACACTGGACAAATATCATTAATGATTCTTTTTGGCAAAATAACCTTTAATGACTTTTCTGTTTGTGCTCCTTTACTCCAGACGTGTTTCACTGTTCTGAGCCTTCATTCCACTGAAGAAACACTCAGCACAGGCTTGGTGGTACAGGTCACGAACAAAGAGCTCACAGTTAAAGAAAAATCTCAGTGCTTCCATTCCCATTTACATCCTGATGAATTTAGAATTGATGGGATCTCTCACTGAGGGATGAAATACTGTACAAAGGCTTTAATCCCCCTTCCTCCCATTGAATCTCAGAAATTTAAAGGCTGCTTAATCAGAAATCAAAGTGCATGACAGGCCTGAAGTGAGCAGTTGAGACCAAGAGTGGTGAAATGTATTTACAGCCACTCTCGGCTTGCCACGTGGTGCCCTGGAGATTTGTCAGCACAGTCCTGAGCACCTGGGAGGAAAGGACAGCAAGGGGACATCTAATCCCTCTCCTTGCCCAAAGCCTGTCCAGCTCCTGATAGATATCTGCCTAATACCAGAGATTCCTCTGCCTCTCTGGGCAATCTATTCCAGTGGGCTTCATTATCCCATCATTAACGAATTTATCATCATGGCTCACCTGAATCTCTTTTAATGCAGCCTAAGCTCATTACTGTTTGTCCCATTGCCATGGACATGGAGAATTTTGCAGCAGCTTTCTGCCACTTGAAAGCTGCTGCACTGTCCTCTCATGCAAGACAAAATCCCACTGTCAAATCACATTTTCTCTTCTTCTTGCTCTCCCCTAGTCTCCACTTGGGCCACATCTTGCATGCAGTGAGGTCTGACCAGGTGGAAGGGATTGTGCTGTGTATTTTATAGGCTGGGTTTATTCCTCCTGGACCAAATATTCCTCTTTTGTCCAAATGGCTGACACTGTGGATTCATGTCCAGTTTAAAATCTTTTAAAACCTTCAGAGCTTTCCTGTAAGATTGCTGCTTGGTCAGTGATTACTCCTTTAGAATACATACAGCTCTTTTTTTAGTTTGGTTTTTTTTCCCCTTCTGTTTAAGAGTATAAACTAATATTTCTTTTGATATTTGTTTGCTCTGTTTCTCTCATTTACTTTCTTCATTCACTGAGAACAGTGATGAACTTCATGTCAACAGGGTTAGGTGGGCATTTCCCCAGAACTACCTCAAATCACTTAATTACCTCAAAAACACTTAAACCAGTCTTAAATCAGGACTGGAATGTGCAAACTCATGTCCTGTAAAAATCAACCCCAAATCTGATGCAAGCTAGTAATACTAAGGAACATTATTTTTTTGTCTATACCAAATCTTTATCAATATTTGTTGACAAGATGGAAAGGTTTGTGAGATTCTGTAACTTGCATAAATAATTTTTCCCCATTAAAGGCTGAGATACGAGAGCATGAGCCACAAAACAGATAAGGAGAGACAAACCTATTTCCCATAAAGGGGGATAAGATTCCATTCTGATAATTTCAGTCTAATATTGTTTGTGCAGCTGCTAAATTTGGACTTGATTTACATCAACAATAAGTGATTTCAGTCTTTAATTTTATTATTAGACATACATATATTCATACATAAATACATATGTATATAAAAATATGTAATGTAGGTGTTTCTTGATTTACAATTCAGTGGAAGCCAACAATAAATTCACTCATGAAAATTATGTCCTGAATGCATTGAAGGAATGTTCTGTTAACCAACACAGCTGTAAGGAATTCTTAAAAGCAGCTCAGAGTATTGATAAATGTGACAAAATCATCCTCAAGACTTGACAACCATTAGTAGCTTTCAGTACTGTTTAAAGATATTCTTTAGTAAAGGGAGCCAACAAATGTATCTTTCAAAAATTAAAATTTAAAAAAAATACTTTCATCCTTTGCTTATTTAATATCTGCTGAAGTAGTTAATGTAGAAGGGAGAATTTTAACTTCAAAAGGCTTATTTGTGAATATTTCTCCTGTGTAACATTTATAGCTTAAATTCAATGCAAAACCACAGCACATGATTTTGGAGTTGTGCTTGATGTCCAATTGTTAAAACAATTCACACACTGCTAAATTGAAGTTTATGAAGTTTATGAACAGTAAATAAATGTATGCAAACAAATATTTTTTACCTGTCTGTCTAAATCTAAACATTTCATGGGTTGATCTAGAATGTGATGACAATACTCAAGCAGCTGTGAGGTCACCTACTGAAGTTCAAACATTTAGCACAGACAACATGAGAATCTATCGTTCTGGGATAGGGGTTCTAATTTTCAGACTGCACACCATGAAAAACCCATGCTCCACACCACAGACTAAACAAGAAGCACCAGACTTTGCTCCCTGGTGTTGCATGTTTAACTCCACTGAGGACAACTGCAGAGCAATTCGGGGACCCAAAGGAGAATAAATGGCCTGGGATGTAGTGTCTTCATAAGCTTTCATTGATATGTTTTCAGTGTGCTATCTCCTTTGAAATTGTTTTAAAAGTCACTGTTAATATCATGTAACAGTCTGATAAATATGCTTCTTTGTAAAAGCTCATAGAAAAGTGCAGCTCTCTGCTGAGGAAGGGATTTTGTTCAAATAATAAAAAAAAAGATTATGCTAATTCTCTGTGCGGTCTACTTCACCTAACCATTGTGCCAAAGACCCTGTAAAGCCTATTCTATAAAATCTCTTCAAGAAACCTCACACATATTATTATTCCTCAAGTATGTGCAACAAAGCTTCTAATATGTCAGGGGATGCACGTTAAATCCTGAGTTTAATTAATCCCAACCATTACACACTTCTGACTGTCAATTTTTGGTGTATTCCTGTTCTGACTTCAGATTTGAACACCATGGGCAGCAGCAGTGGCTGTCACATTGGTGCATTTTCTAGGCAGTCCCTGTGGAATGTGTTGGTGTAGTTCCTTCAGTCTTCCAGCCGCTTTTTCCAGCTGTTTTTCTGGACACCTGGATCTGTAAATCGCTTTAAGTCCATGCATTCGCACTCCTGTGCAGAAGCATTCTGCCCAAAAGCCCAACTGTCCTCCAAGGCCACCCCCCAATTAATTTTGTTATCAGCCTGGTCCAGTAAAGGAGATCAAACTGTAACTCTTTTCCACCTGCAGCCTCCTTTTGGTTGTCAGAAAATGGCAATATTCCCTTTTAACATGTTTTCATCTCAAGATAGTTCATGTGGCTTTGGGAAAATTTGCCTTGGGAGATAAACATAATTTTATTTGTTGGTTGGGTGATGCATCTGGCTAAGGATAATAACACCCTACAGTTATTTTATTTAGATTTGACATTGGGAATAAAAATAATTTTGAAGGAACTGCAGAATTGCCTGATGTTAAAGTGCTTGACAACAGAGAAGATTTATTGAAAGGAGACACACGTGGCAGAAGTCTTACAGAGCCGTAGGGATGTCCCATAAGATAGTTTCAGTCTTATAAAATACTTTCTTATTATTTTATATGACAGGAAACATGGCCAGTTGCAAACATGGATGCCCTCAGGAGAAAGGAGGATGGGCTGCAGCACAAGGGGAATGTGCAATATTTAGATTGCAGCATGGAAAATACTCATTTGGGTCATGCCAAAATCCTGAGCACAAATGAAATTTGTGTCTAATTTTAGGAGTCTGTTGGGCAGTTGAAGACAGTACAGAGAAAAGTTATCAGGGGTCCTTCTGGAAGGAGTAAATGTCTTTATACTGCATAGCAGCATCACTGGATTTCTTCAGGGGTGAGTGCTTTTCTGGAAAATGCATTAGTCAGAGACTGATTACACTTTAATTACATGCTTTTTGGAAATGGGAGATCAAATTGGATGATCAAGTGAACTTTCCTGCCCCTAAGATGTCTGAAAATGAAATTTTAATGGGTAACTAATATAATGAGTAGAAATACATTTGATTATTTTTTTTTCTTTAGTTTTTCTTTAAGCTGAAGTAAAAACAGAAAAGCTTTGAGGAAAAACAAAGTAAGCCATTCACATTTTATGTTAGATAAAGACAAAGGTATTTGCAGGACTGGTATCACTTAAGGCATTACACATTACTGAGAGAACCAGCACAGGGTATTTTTCTTTCTAATACTTCACTACTTTCAGTGTATTTCCTCAGCTGTGCCAAGTATCACTTTATCTTCCTACTTAGATATTTTCCATTCTGCTTTAAACTACAGTGCCAGTTGTTCTAATAATTTAAAGTTATTGGCATTTTGATGTCTGAGGCATCATTAGCAAGATAGCTGATAAAGGTAGCAGTGGTTGGAAAAGGGTCTGTTCTCTTAGAACCCCGAGAAAAAAAGGAAAAAATAATGGCTAAAAAGAAACCTGTTTCATGATTCATGACAGCATCTCAATTTCTAGGCATGTGAAGTGTCAGGATTTAGAAATATATATGTGATAAGTAAAAAAGAATAACTCTAATAGAGGGGTAGAAGAAAGAGACATTTTTGGTGCCTTACTTGTATTTTTCCATTACTCTTCCATGACTGGGTTTGAAATTTATAAAGGCATGTTTACAGTGAGTTTCTTTTTATAACTTTTTATGTCGCTAAACCTCCTCTTAAAAGTTTTCAAAAATATGTCTCTGTTTGGATTTACTTTAAAAGAAATACTGAGCGAAGAGAATTGTCACAGAGGGTTTGTACCTGTACTGTGCTACTATGAATAACTACTAAAATCTTTCCCTGATGAAAAAATTAAGTGCCCATCTGGACCTTTTAGCATTATGTCCTACTTAATATTTCGTATTACAATAATCCCTACTGGCAGAAGATCAGTTGCTGCAAAGACTTATCATGTTATTAAAAATGACACAATGTGGCCTAAAATCAGTTTTATTTGCTAAAAAGATAAAAAAACCCACAAAAACCCCTCCAAAACCTGAATGGCTTCCTCAAAGGCATCCATGAGTCTGCCATAATCAGGACTCTGAGTGTTTATCCCAGATTGTCCCTGCCTGCATCAGGGGAGAATTCTCATTCCTCAGTCTTCTTAAATAGTAATGACAAATTTACTGGTAGCCTAAAATTTGGCTGTTTTGGAAGAGCATTTGTGCAGCTGTAACATTTTGCTGTCCCTGATGGGGATAGTGGAGCCTGCTTGCTTCCAGCTGTCAAAGTAATGGCATTAATCAAGCTCAGGTCACAGAAGGACTCAAGACTCAAGACTCTCAAGTAGAGAGATTCTGTTGGTAGTGCCTACAGATTTTTTTTAGGAGTTTTACAAATAAATGAAGACTGAATTATAAAAAAATTAGAATCTTACTAGATTTCTGTCTAATCAAGAATCCACTGAAACGAATATAAATAAGGGACTGACGGAAATCAAATAATTTCACTGAATTTGGGGGTGAGTTCAGTGAGGGATTCGAACAGTACCTCATTCCATGCTTGCACAAAATTCAATCTCTAATAGCACAACATTTGCTCTGTTTGTAGTGATTTTGAGTATTTCCCTAATATTATTTGCTTTCTTAATACCAAGGCACCAGCTTTAAAAGGACCATCTCTGCTGTCAGCCATAGTTTGATGTTTTGAATAAACCTCCAGACGGACCAAGCGCCTTTCTTCCCCAGCACAGCTGAAAGCAAAGAAGCTGAAACAAAACAGAGATACTGCTTTAAAGAACAACCAGGAAAAATCCCTCTTGATTTCCAGCCAATTAGTGATTCTGGTGGGTTTGCTTTTTCAAAACATTTGGAAACGGCAGTGCTTAAATCATCACAGACGACTGTTTTGCATGACCCCCTGTCTTCACCTTTCTGAATACTGCATGTAGCTTCGGTTGTGTTTGCAAGGTAAAGTAAAGAAAAAGCTGAAATATAACCAGATGATGGATGTACTAAATTATAGGAGGCGGTTTCCTTAGAGATCTTAATAAGTGAAATGCAGTCCCTGCTCTGGGACTGAAGTGCTGGCAAGCATGGCAGCAGGAAGAAGGCAGCACCAGGAGGAGGGAGGTCAGTGTTAAAAATGATCAGGGCTGTGAGAGCACCTCTCTGGAGGAACTGCTTTCCCAAACCAGCCCCACCTGGAGGCTCCATCTGAGCCTGGGTCCTGGCCTGGGCTGGTGGGGAAGGAGCTGTGCAGAAGCAAAGCTCCCATGCTGTGAGTGGAACCCTCAAGTGAAACTGGTCTGGGTGGGTAAAGCTTACTGCTGCACTCGGGAGGGAGAAAAATTACCCCAGGGCTCCCAGATTTGTAGCACAGAGACCTCTCTGAATGGCAGCATTAGAAGCTCATTGATATTCCAGGAGCTCATACTCCCTAGACCAGGGCCTACTCTGCTAATTAAAATAAAATCATGACTCCATGGTGCTTGCAGTCTATGTACATGAAGCAGATGAACAATGGGAAAAGGTGACTGTCCCACTTGGACACAGGAGAGGAGACACAGAGAATACCCTTTCTTACCCTGACACAGGTTAATAGTTAAAGCACAGTGTTTTATTACTGCAAAGTCTTGTTTTATTTCTTCTTCTTTTTTTTTTTTTTTCATAACCTTTCCAGAATAGAGACGTAATTTCTGTGAAAATAGGATGTCTCTCAGGCATGGGTTTTCTGAGAGCAGAAGTATGTGGCTACTTCAGCATTACCTTGTCATGTTACCTACTAGTGTGGATCTATCACTGGCATAACTGGAACATCTCTCCACATAGTTTCAATTATGAAATAGGAGATGGCTCATATTAAAAAGTAGAATTCAGCTGCAGTTCTGTAAATGTCTTCTGAATTCAATATGAATGGCTTTTTCCACTCAACAGGTTGTTTTGTAATTGTACGTGCGTCATTGGTTTTGAATATTCCTTTTGTCCCAGTGTTTGAAAGAAATACTTTATAGTTCAAGTAATGTGAAAATTTGGGTTCTTTTCAGAGAACAATGAGTTGTCTGAAGAAAGCTGGTGCAAACTCAGGCAGATGTAGGAACAATTTTCTCTTGTTCTAATTTAAAATTAAATTCTAAAATTTAATTCTAAATTAATTTTTAAAATTTCTAAATTTCTACTGTTCAGACCTTTTGTGTTTTGGGGAGGAAGCTCAAGTTAGGTCATGTGAAATGGCAATTTCTATGAAGGCAACTTACTCTGAAGATCTGGGCATTGAATGGGTCACATCAGCTGGTGCAGCTCTAGTGAAGTCAGTAGGTATCTCCTTTGTACCAGCATCAGAAGTGCAGAATTTTAGTTAAATTCCATTGAATACTGACTTTTTCTTCCTCAGTGTAAGGGGTATTTGTTATGAGTCATATACTGGTACAGTGATGGGTACCCTAAAACCTGATTTATGTATAATCCATCTCTTAGAAAAGAGTGGAGACTACAGAGATTACTTGAGTTTAGAAGTAACTTACTCATTGTGCTTATAATGGCAAGAATAAATCTGTCACTATCTAATTGCTTCCTATATCTATGCCAGGATTTTTCTGACTTTGTATCTCGTAGCACGTCCCTATTTCCATAAATAGAAATAATTTGCTTAAGTGCTTTCCTTCTGAATACTTTATTATTCAGCTCACTGTCTGTGTTGGTTTTCATGAAGTCTTAATCAGATATATCAGACTCTCTCTGGAATGCCTTTTAACTATTCCATATTTGTGCTTTATTTTTTAACTTCCCATAAGACTCCAGGTAAATTTCCTAGTTAAGGTTTTTATTCTTTAACTTTCAAACTTTGTCAAATGTTATTTTTCTAAAAAAGAAAACACTAATTTCTATTCTTTGTGTTTATTATGATGGAGCAGCAATGAGCACAGCCATTGGCAATATTTTCCTACTCCAAATTGTGAAGTAAAGGATGTGGGTTGGGTTCACCAGACAATTTTTTCTAACAGTGTTAGGAGTTAGAAAAATTAGGAAACTGATGAACTGTTAGATGTGGTGGATTTGTCAGTGCAGTGTTAATGGACTTGAGGATCTCAGGTTTTATCCAACCTTTTCTGTTCCATGATTGTGTGGTTTATTCAGAGTGATCCTCAAGTGGATCATACTCAGGTCTGACCCTAAAGACTGCTCAACAACTTAAAAATGCTTGTGTGCTACACAGAGGAACGTTAGTAATAAAACAGATAATGATGTGTGGGGAAAGAGGAAAAAAAAAGGAGAGGAGGGAACAACTTGAAAGGGAGAGAGGGAAGAAGGAAGGGAAGCAGATGGAATGGTGGTTTTCTTTCAAACATGTGCTGACCATCATCATTATCAACCAAAAAATTTTGGGGAGATCTAATTTTCAGCTGTATCTTGTGGAATTCAGCTTTTTTTGCGTGGATAAGTAACATAACTATGTCAACTGTCTGAGGCAAAGATTCTTAGATGGTCTCCAGATCTCTGAGTATTGATGGTGGAAGTTTAAAGTGTCCATTCAGAAATATTCAGCCACTAAAGAGAGCTGTCCTTGCTGTGGTTTTGTGCTGCAATAGATGAGCAGTTGTTTGTCCAGGACAAACTGAGCACACACCCAGGCTGTGGGCACATCAACCACCAGCTGTTTGGTCACACTGATCAATAGTCTCTTTGTCTTTCTTTGCACTTGTCTGCCTGCATTTCTGTGTTTTTTTCATCTCATTCGTAGGTTGTGAATGTTTTGGAACCAGCTCCATGTGATAAAGATCTGGTTTGTGTTTGGGGTGAGTGTTTGCTTATCTGTGCAGCAAATATTTGTGCCTCCCACAGCAGTGTGCTGAAAATGGCAGCGGTAACAATAACAGTATGCCTGGATCTGCAGGGGGATCACATGTATTAAAACTGACTGGGTTTCATGCTCTACGTATGCCTAGGTCCATCTGTTCAAAATGCAGCTCCTGTTTAGTGTTGTATTCCTTTTTAAAGCCAGGGACCAAGCTGACAGCAGTCACACTGCTACTTCATAATAAGGTGTCACATTATCCTCCTCCAGCTATTTCACACCTCCAGCTATTCCCTTCAGGAAGACTCTAAAATGAAATTAGTGTGGGGGGTCAGGAAAGATTATCACGGTAAAGAAGCAATGAAAACTGTTTGAAGGAATGTTAACCAGCACTTTACACCTTTATTCCCTGAGGCAGCGATCCCATACAGTACACATTTATACTGATTCAACACAGATCATTCAGATTTGTGGGCATCATGTTGAGAAGAAGAATGGAAAATACATAACATACATAAAATTATAATAAACTATCATAATGTGGACAAAACTGAATCTATCAAGACAGTAATTTTCACATATTCCTGTGAGCTGCTCCTCCACTCTTCACTTAGGGAAAAATGTCAGAGCCCTGGAGAGCTATTGAGTGCAATTTTCCTTAGGTAGCCCTGTACCTGCCATTTTCTCTTCCAATACAATCAGGTACTTCTCCAGATCTGCAGACTCTGCCAGCTGCTTCTCTGTTGTCACAATGACTGAAATGACAGAATGAGTCAATCCACATCTCCGAGTCTCCTTCATTAAAGAGTCCTCATTTCCAGAGTGAACTCATTTAGGGTTTGTTTTAAGGTGTTGCAAGATTTTCTGTAATCCTACAAATCCAGACCATCTCCTAGTGGGTAGAGACCACCCCCTAGGTCAGGCTGTTCTGGGACTCATCCAGCCTGTCCTTGAACACTTCCAGGGATGAGACAACCACAGCCTCTTTGGGCAACCTGTTCCCAGCTTGGGCAACTGAGCTCTGTCACCTTTATTTACACAGGAGGTCAGAAATGTTGTCTCTCACCAAATCATAAAGCCATTCCAGCTCTGTGTTTAGCAGGGAATGGAGGTTTTCAAGTTTCATCTTGTTCCTGCAGGAACTGCAGCCTGAATATTTAGTGGTATTTTTTTGTCAGAATTAAAATATGCTTTGGAAAGAAACATGCAACTTTAAAAATCTGGTTATTTCTTAGCAAAAAAATCCCCCCAAACCAAACCACAACCAACAAACCACACACACCCACACTCACACATGCAAAAAACCCCCAAACCAAACCAAACAAACCAACCCACAAACCCACACAAGCACCAACTTTCACATATTCAAACCAGCTGCAATGAGCTTGTAGGTCAGGACAATTCCTTTATTCCTTTATTCCTTTATTCCTTGAGAGCCACTTTCAGTGCAGTTTCATTGTCATAAAATCAGGGTTGGGTTTTTTAACTGATCTTGTTCCAGCAGTCTTGTAAATCTTATCAGGTGGTATTGGAAGCCTAATTCATCAGTTGAAATAGTGAAGTGGATTTTGTTTATTTAGCTATTAGGCTCAGGTTTATTTGTTTAGAAGACTTAAACACACATAGGGAGAAAAATAAAAGAGCATGTGAGGATTTGGCCTACTGGCTCCCATTAACTTCAATAGGAATCATGCAGCCAAAGCCACAAATCCCACTTTAAATATATACTGGGGGGAGATTAGTCTTAATCTGGGCAATGAACCTGAAACCATAAAAATGTCAAGCCTTTGAAAAGTTTTGAGGTAATAAACACATTTATAAGAAACTAGACAAAGGTGTGATGTTGGTGCAGACTAGTTCCTTGTGACAAAAATCTCTTTTTAGCATTATCTTTCCTGTGTCATTTAAAGGTTCCCTTCTGTGAGGCTGGTGGAGAGGTGGGGGTTTATAATCTCCTTTTTGCAGCTGTCATGCACAAATAGATACATGAGAATGTCTTGTGTTTATCCTGTTGA